CGGGTTGCGTTGTGGGGGTTTGCTCTTGGTTTTTGTTGGGGGGGTTTTTGGTTTTTTTTTTAGTTTGTATGACTTTTACAATTTTTTTTCTCAGTGGATTTGGGGACGTCCCACCCCCTCCCCTTCGGCCCCAACCTGGTCTCTGCCCCTCCGGAATCTGGGGGGAGCCCGAGCGCGGGGTCATTTGGGGGCTCGGGAGGGGTGCGTGCAGGAAAACACCCCGCTTTCCTGTTCCTGCCTGGCTGCGTCCTCCCACGGCTCCGCAGGCTGGGGCCCAAGGGACTTCTGCGGTGACGGCAGTGGGCGAGACGCCGTCTCAAACCCCATTTCTCATCATCTTCCTCTGCCTTTCGGTCGAGGAAATTATCTTGCTGTGAACGGCACCACGGGGCACTGCCCACCCGCGATGGGAGCGGATCAGGCCCCAGGGTCTGCGGTTTTCCCACACCGTGGGTGAGGGCTTCAGCCGTGACAAATGGCGCAGTTGCAGTGTCCCTCCAGGGCTGGGGACTGGAGAGGAAGCACGCAGGCCATGCTCGGCTGTCCCGATGCTGTACTGCTGCCATCCCATCCCAAGGGAACCGGGGTGGCATGGCGGAGCTGTGGCCGCCCACCCTGTGAGTCACGGGAAATAGGAGGACAATAAACTTTCACTGCACCTTTTCCCAGGAAAGGGCTGGTCTGTGGTCTGTACCTTCACATCAGGCCCATCGACATCTCCCACCCACGTCACCAGCTGTCCCGAGAGCTCCTCCGGGGCCTCGTCCTCCCCGAACGGCAGCAGCAGCGCCGGGGGCGGGGGGGCTCTCCTTGCCCTGCAGACCCCCACTCAGGTGCTGCTCAAGCCGGGCATGCAGGAGCCATGGCAGAGCAGCCCTGCCCAGGGCTGGCGCTCGCCCAGCACGTCAAACTGGGGAAACCCGGGGAGGTGGCAGCTGGGATTTTACAGACACCACGCAATCGATTTGTGGGTGTTGGGAAGGTGGAAGCTGCAGGATTTTGCCCTTGGGGAACGGGCTGAGGCACGCCGAGCCATTTGTGAATGGGCACCCGTGTGCTACCACCAGTGGGCTCTATCCTCGGTGAAGTTTTAAAACACACCCCAGTCACTCACTCCATCTACTCCCAATTCTTTCCCTTCCAATGGGGAAAAAACTGAAACGGGAACCCCCCCGCTGGTGCTGTGCCCCGGGGCTGGATGTCCCCAGACCAGAGCCTTCAGCTGCTGCTGGTGTGGACGCAGCCCCGCTGCCCCCCTCCAGCCCTGCTGCCCCCCCGGACCAGAGCAGAGCTTTCCTGCAGGGCTGTAACCCCCCGCTCCCTTGGGCATCGCCTGCTCCAGGGGGCCAGGCGATTCTGCAACCAACCAACCCGTCCCAAACCCCACAGGGAAGTGGCTGGGAGCAGCTGATGTGATAAAATCTTACCTTAAAAGCTGCTTTTTAATTCCTCCCACCGTTGCTTCATGCATAATTGCACCTTCTGGCTTTTTTTCTGAGCACGGACGAGTGGTCGGAGGAGCCCGGTGCCTGCCCTCCTTCCCACGGGCAGCTGCCCCAGCTCGCAGCTATTGCACACTTTTCTTTATGAGCTTCATCTATTTCACAAGCGCCCTCTCAGCGTCCTCAGCCCCCGTGGCCTGAGATTTCTCTTTTGTTTTGCTTCCTGTATGGATTTTCTACAGTCCCTAACTGCTAATTCACTACCACCGACTTCTGCTTTTTTCTGTTTGTTTAAGCAGAGCTGCGCAGATGCCCTTGTACATGCACACACACACACACACACACACACACGCTGCCGCTTCCCTTCCGCTCTGAGTTGGGCTC